GCACATGCTGGAGTCGGATTCGGACGAGGGTGCCTGCTACGCGCCGGCGGCCAGCGCCGCCACGTTTCGCTTCTGTGCGTGGGCGGGCGCGCGCGACGGCGCCCGTGCTCTGCCCCCGCGCGTTCGGGCGCGCGTTGCCGGCCCGTGTCGCCTGCGTGCCGTGTGGCATTGGGTCTGCACGCAGGCGTGGCGCGAGGCCGCCCAAGCGGCGGCGCGTCGGGCCTGGGCCCGTCGCAGCCGCCCGCGGGGGGCAGCCTCGCGCCGCGCCGCTCCCACCGACGGCGGCAGCAGGCGGGGTCGAGGCCCTGCACGCGCGGCTCGATTTGTGGTAGGCCCACGGCGGCAAATCCGCTCGCAGACGCGGACGTTCACCGTTGTGGGCGGGCACAAATCGGCCACGGTTGCGCGTAGGTCGCGCGCGCGGCAGTGCGACGCGACCGCGGCCTCGCTGCGCCGGCGCGGGCCATCGCGCCGTCGCGCGCCAGGGTTGCGCGTCGCGGGGGGGGGGTCGCTGCCCCGCGGCGCGTGCGCTTCGCAGGTGATTTGCTAGCGCCGGGGTTGCGTCGCCGCGGGGGGGGGTCGCTGCCCCCGCGGCGCGTGCGCTTCGCAGGCGATTTGCATTTGGAGGAGGCGCCGCGCGCGCGCCCCGCGCGCGCGCGCGGCGGGTGCCTCCCTGGCGCGCGTTCTTTCCCCCACCCTCCGCCCTGTCTGCTGCGCGCAGGCGTGGCGCGAGGCCGCCCAAGCGGCGGCGCGTCGGGCCCGGGCCCGTCGCAGCCGCCCGCGGGGGGCAGCCTCGCGCCGCGCCGCCCCCACCGACGGCGGCAGCAGGCGGGGTCGAGGCCCTGCGCGCGCGGCTCGATTTGTGGCGCCGCCACCACTGAGCCGTACACCCCCAGGCACCAGGGACAAGTATTGGTGATCACTGTGCATGTCCAGGGATCACGAAGGCCATGTTTTTGTAGGCGGCGTTGGTTGGCCGACTTGAATGTTGTGAAGATTTCCTGGCAATAACTACCGTCCTCTTTTTCACATCCGCACACCCATTTCGATTCTGCTTTCTGTTCGGGTTCGGCGACCGCATCTGCCGTTGGGACCTGAGAAGAGGACCATCCAGGAGGGGGAACGGCACAAGCGTAAGCTCCTTCTCGCAGTCGTCCAAAATCGAGCGCCCCGAACTCCTCAGCCAAGTCGGGGTCTCTGAAGAGCCTCAGGAAGCCCTCGCTCAACTCCTCCTTCAGCCATGCTATGTCGCCCCCCATCGCCTCCAATCCTTCCATGATGTCCTCCTTCGCCCTCCTGGCCCATGGGTTGACCTGGTCTCCTATCTTCAATTCGCCCCCCCCGATCGTCGCGTATCGCTCGAATGGGTACTGACCGAATATCGCAGTAAGCTCCTGATCGTGGTGGTGGGGTCTACTCGCTATTCTCTGCCATCGTTTTAGTCGTCGTACTCTGGCCTCCAACTTACATGGGGCCATCCTCCAGCACTCCAATGCCCCTCCAGTCGACATGTGTTTATGCTTTTGCTCGCCCTCCGCCGTTGTCACGATCGAGTGAGCTGCACCTCTCATCGCCCTTCTTGCAAATCTGGCCACGAGCTTGTCTAGCTCCTGCCAGTTGGCCTCTGTGAGGCGAAAAGCCTCGTTGCCTGTGAATGCTGCGTTTAGTACACAGCGCATCAGCAGGCCTCGTCGGACCTTCCAGGGCGTGCGCTTCAAACTCCAAAACCTACCTAAAGCAAAATACGATTGTTCGACTGCCTTTCGCCGTTGTTTAAACTCTTCCCCAAACTTGCCATCTATATGTAACTGTGCTCCTAGATATCGGGCGCGATGTTTAAACTGGGCCGGCAGACGGACCCTTCCTGAGCGAATGTCCCGAGCATCATTATTCGAGCCGCGCCCAGCACAAGCTGGCAAAATTTCCTGCTTGTCCCGATTCTGTCTACAGCTGATCGTCTCCAGAGCCGCGTCCAGAGCGCTGTTCTCTAAAAGACTGCGCTGGGCGAAGGAAAAAATTGATCCGGTGTCCTCAGCTACTAGTATTTTTAATAGATCATCAACATACTGGCACAGGGGCAAGTCCACCTCCCTCTGTGTGAAGGGACTCTCGGCTTTACAATTACCTGCATCGCTGCCAGTCTGTATCATCTGATGTTGCCAGACGTTTACCCCTCGTTGGAAGGCAAGGAGGAACAAACGAACAACGTACGGGTCCCCCATAAAGGCCCCACAGCCGATCCGAAACATCACCTTGCCTTCCTCACTGGGTAACTGTACCACTGCCTCGTGGTAGCGCTGGCGTCCGAATTGCTCTAGCTCGTCAAGCGTGAGGTCCGATTGGACATCATCATACTCTGACCAGGAGACACTACCGAATGCAATACTTAAAACGTGCAGGTGTGTGATGCTCGTGCGTCCTTGCTTGCGCGCGCGCCACATCGTGCACTGTGCAACCGTTATCGCCGCCACTTTCGAGCGACCCTCGAGAAATCCATGCACCTGTGCCTGCGTGCGGGGGGCAACGCTCTGAATGGCGTACCATCCCTTCCCTAGGGGTGCGAGTAAATGGGCCGTCCAAGTTTCTTGTCGGCCGCCCCTCCCCGCGGACCTAGCCTCTTTGGACTTGGGGAGGGCGACGCCTTTGCTCAGATGCCAATAACAAGGAGTTCTGCCAGATCGACTGCCTAATCCGTAAAGGTCCGTCCTCCAAGACAGCTCGAAACAAGGGGGCACTCACGGGATGAGGAAGGGCGCCTAAACCTCTGTGACCTTTTCGCGGGTGAGCCTCTGGGTTCGGGCTCAGAAGGATGGCCGGGAGCTCCAGCGGGGCAGACCAAGGAGGTTGTGTTTTTCTTTTCGGGGCCCTTTTTACCCATCGCTCCAGCCGTCGAAGGTCTCGAACCGCAGCTCGCCGTAGTCGCTCGTCCAGTACTGCTGGCTCAGCGCCCTGTGGTTGACGTTCGCTTCGCCATTGATCCCAGTCGTGCATCTGTGTCGCCTGCATTCCACCGTCTGGTCATGGACGTGACCAGTGCTCAGTCCACTTCTCCTCTGATAGTCCCGTCGCTTTTACTGCCAAGAAATGTCTTCTTTTATCCCATACTTTGTATTTGCGGCCAATCTCGAGAGTCGATATACTTCTGCCATGTTACGCATTCGCCAGCAATCCCATATCTGATCCAGTAGTTCTTCCTGGTGTACTTTCCATTCAAGATCCCGTTGTTTTTTTTCATATACGTTGATAGTTTTTTAATTCCTCAATGATCTCGGCCTATTCCTTTCTTGATTGCTCGTCGTGTCGAAGCCGATGATCTCTGCGAGCTTTGAGTAGTATCATTCTGCGCTCTCCCAGTGCCTTGTAGCGTTCGTCCCATTCGTGGTCGCGTGCAAAATATTGTTGCCCAACTTCAATCATGAGCTGCTCTAATTTCTCAATCAAAAAATCTGCAGACGTACGATTTGCCAGGTCCAGGAGCTCGTCCCAGTTCTGGTCAAGCGTCGCCTCCATGTCCTCAACGAAGGCGCGCTTGGTGTCTGTGTCCGTGCCCGTGTACGCCTGCATCATTGCCTCTGCGCTCCAGGCGGGCGTAGCATCCTTCTTGCGTAACTCACTGATGGTCGGCATACTTAGATTCACGTGTACTGGCAGGTGATATCGTCTTTGCTTGCTCGGTATCTGCTGTATCGAATGGCCCAGGCGGGCCAAGGTCCCACAGCTGGTCTCCCATCTTGTCAGGGCCTCTGGGATGCATATGTAGTCCACCAGCGAAGATTTGTCCGCATTGCCATACCACGTGTCATCGGCCTTCTGCATAGTAGTTGCCACCAGGTGGTGTCCTTCCAGTATTTCTCTGAACCGTCTCCCTGCGTAGTGTTCCCGTCTTGCACCTGGCTTGTACAGGGCTGGGCTGTCCAGGTACTCCGTGCTCTTGCCGTTCTCTGCCACGACCATTCCCATTCCGTCATTCAGGTCCAGGCATATGATCGGTGAGCTTCTGCTCGGAACCTGCTGCAGTTGGTCCTGAAGCCAGTCCATCATGATGTCCACGCATTTCTCATATGTCGATATGGTTTCCACTCGCGTCGGTCGGGGTGGTATGTACAGGCCTATCATAGTGAAGTCAAGCTGTCGCGAAGCTAGTCTGATTGAGAGCCCTCTGCCTGCACATTGCTCTGGGCTTGTGACCACCCTCCGCAAGTGTCTGGGTTTGAACTTGTTGCCGAAACTGAAGAGCAGGCCCGCCGACTTATTGCTGAAGCTTGCTCTTTTCCATCCACTCTCGATGCGCCACCTCTCCCCCGCTCGTTGCTGCTGGATCGGGAGGTCGCACCTGCGATGTGTGGCGATGAGGCCTACGAAGTCATAGCTCTCACATGCACTCTCGATGTCGTCAAGCCTCTCCGCTGTGCGAGCCGCCAGCGGGTTGTAGTGCAGAAGCCGCCAGGTCGTCCTTCTTGTGAGTGCTGGCGTCCCTGCTGCGCCCGCTGCCGCGCCCTGAGCGATCGCCGCCAAAAGGGCGGTCCTCATCGCCCGCGTGGCCACCTGCGGCTCGAGTGCGATTCGAGGTAGGTGAGTCGGACGTGCCACATGGGCACAGCAGTGGCCGCCTGGCTGCTCTTTCTGGGCCAGTATGGCGGCTATATATATATATATATATATATATATATATATATATATATATATCATATATATATATATATATATATATATCCTCGGAGATCCGCGCGGATTTCCTGGATCGGCGCTGGATTCCTCTCCCTACAAAGCGGCATGGGGCAGCGCCAGAGGCACTGCTGGAGGCGCCGCCAGGGGGGGGCGGGGCACCGCCGATCCAAGACATCCGCGCGGGCCTCTTGAACAACTATGTGTTTGATGTGTTCTACTCTTGGGGACCTCCCTCTTCCCTCCTCTTCCTCCTCCTCCTCCTCCTCCTCCTCCTCCTCCTCCCTCTTCTCTCTTCCCTCCCCCCTTGTGACAGCGGCGCTCCCCGTGGGCGCCTGGCTGAGCTCGCACTGCAGTTCCCGCTCCCGCTCGGCGCTGCCGCTCTGCGAGGGCTCGCCGGAGGCCTGAGCCAGCAACGACGAGGACGAGGAAGAACTGGAGGGGGAAGAGGATGGGGGGAGGAGGAGGAGGAGGCGGAGGAGTAGGAGGAGCAGCAGCAGCAGCAGCAGGAGGAAAAGGAGCAGGAGGAGGAGGAGGATAAGGAGGAGGAGGAGGATAAGAAAAACGAGGAGGAGTAAGAGGAGCAGGAGGAGGAGGAGGAGGAGGAGGAGGAGGAGGAGGAAAAGGAGGACGAAAATACCCGATGGAGCCCCCTTCTGCTCCTCCACCCTCCCCACCCAATCCTCCTTCCCCTTCCTTCCACGGCAGTCCCTTTCCCTTAACAGTAACTCCCTTCTGTGGCACCCTCAGATGTATGGGCAAGCTGAACAAAGCGTTTGGCCGGACGGTTCCTCACCTCGTATGATCCTGCAGCTTAGCATTTACAGCAGTTTCACAGGTGGACGGGAACCATTTTTAAAAAGGTGTTTCTCTTAGCGCCGCGCGAATTCGTTTCAAATGTGGCTCTGGCCTTGGCGACGCGCGTGTTTTTATTACCCACATCCAAAGTGGGTTTCTTGTTTTCTCTGGACACCCCACGCAGGAACAGGATGGAAACAAACACCCCCTCTTATCACTCAAACACTCACACCATCATCGCAGCACCAACATCACATACACACTCACTCACACTCGCTCGACCAATCTCATTCACTCATTCACACTCACTCATTTTTCCTGAGTGGCTCGCCCACTTACTCACAACTACAACGCATCACTCATCATCCTCATTATCACAACACCACCGTCACCATCGTCATTACCACACACGCTCACTCACACACCCACACATTCAGCTTGAGGAAGTGTCAGGCGGGACCCTCGTCAGCGATTGAACACCATCACTATCACCAATCACCATCGTCACCGTTATCACGCATCACCCGCCACCATCGTCCCCATCACCATCGTCACCATCACCCATCACCACCGTCCTCATCATCGGAGGAAGTCTCGGGCGGGAACCTCGTCTGTGAGTGAATTGCGAGAGGAAGTCTCAGGCGGGAGCCCCCTCCTTATGGGGCCCGTACTCCATGCTCGAATCCGAGGCGTGCCATCGGCCTCCTGTATCCGTCGTCACTTATGGGCTCCCATGACCTGAACATGGAGGAAGTATAAGGCGGGAGCCTCGTCGGTGAATGAATTGCGAAGAAATCTCAAGCGGGACCCTCCTCTTTTATGGGGCCAGAACCGCACGTGCTTTCTCCGGGTCGTCTTCTGGCGCGCGCTTCCTCTGGGTCGTCCTCCGGCGCGTAGCCGCTGGGACGCTCGTCGTGCGTTTCCTCTACGTCGTGTTCCGCACGCGGAAGAGGAGGATGAGGAGGAGGAGGAGGAGGAGGAGGAGGAGGAAGAGGATACAGGACAAGAAAAATGAAGGAGGAAGAGGAGGAGGAAGCAGAGGGGGATCAGGACGATGATGAAAAGGACGGGGAAGAGGAGGAGGAAGCCCTAGGAGGCCCCAGGAGGTCCCGGAAGGCCCAGAAGGCTCCAGAAGGCTCCTAGAAACCCCAGGAGCAGGCAAGAGGCCTAAGGAGGAGGCAGAAGGAGGAGGATGAGAAGGATGAGGAGAAGGAGGAGGAGGAGAAGGAGGGGGAGGAAGATAGAAACGAGGCGGAGGAGGCGGAGGAGGGAGAGGGAGAGGAGGAGGAGGAGAAAGAGGAGGAGGAGGAGGAGGAGGAGGAGGAGGAGGAGGAGGGGATGATGATGATGATGATGATGATGATGATGATGATGATGAGAGGAGGAGGAGGAGGAGGAGGAGGAGGAGGAGGAGGCGGGAAAGGAGGAGGAGGAGGAGGAAGAGAGGAGGAGGAGGAAGAGGAGGAGGAGGAGGAGGGGAGGAGGAGGAGGAGGAGGAGGAGGAGGAGGAGGAGGAGGACGTGGTGGAGGAGGCAAGAAGAGGAGGAGGCAGGGGTTGTGACAGGAGCAGGAGCAAGCAGGAGGAAAATGAGAAGTCAGGAGTATGTGGGAGAAGGGAGGGGGCAAGAGATCCCCAGGCAAAATAAACAGGTTATCATGCGGGGTCCTACCGTCGGAGTTTAGTTTTTCAAAGCGGGGTTCTCGATTCGGCGCCACGCGGAGTTCTTTGTCCCAACCGTCCTGTGTTGGCTTCCCGTTGTGGACAGAGCACCGTGGTCTCCTTCAGTCCAATCCTGCCCCTTTTCCTCCTCCTCCTCCTCCTCCTCCTCCTCCTCCCTCCTCCTCCTCCTCCCCTCCCTCCTCCTCCTCCTCCTCCTCCTCCTCCTCCTCTCCTCCCCATCATCCCCCCCTTCCTCCTCCTCGTCCTCCGCCTCCTCCTCTTCCTCCTCCTCCTCCCTTTTCCTCTTCTTCCCTCTCCCGCCTTCTCCTCCTCCTCCTCCTCCTCCTCCTCCTCCTTCTCCGCCTCCTCCTCGTCCTTCTCCTCCTCCTCCTCCTCCTACTCCTCCTCCGTCTCCTCCTGAAACACTGAAGCACCGACAGCTACAATCTTCGTCGACCGTTGCCCCCCCCCCCCCACCAGGGAACCCCTGGGGCCGGTCGGCCTTGGGGGCTGATCAAACTAGGAAGCGGGTGACCCCTTGAGCACGCTCCGGGAGTCGTCGGTTGGGGGACATGGTAGTACACGAAAACATGCGACAACAACGAAAGAACATAAGGAAACGCAAACAAAACAAATCCATCAAAGCTCAAAGAGGGCGAATAGGGAGGAAGGATACCTTGCGGGCACGGCGTGTGAGCATTGCAGAGTGGCGGAAGAGGCGGTGGATTGTGGCGGTGCGGCAGGGGGCGTGGCCAAGCCGCGCCCGCCAAAGTGGAAGGCAGCAGTGCCTTTCCCCCTGCCCTGAGGAAGCTCTGGGCGACGGCCCACATTGAGAAGGGACCGGCCGCCCTGGCATTCCTGTAGGCCTACCACAACATGTTCTTAAAACCCCACGGCGTTCCAATAACAAGAGCTGTGTTCAAAGAACTAACCCCGATGTGTTACATAAGGACAGCATCCGTCAGACATGTTCGAATCACATGCCGTGCGGACCACTACGAAGGTTCACAGAACATGTGTTGGTGGGCCTATGGGCGAACCGAGACGCCTCGCCACTGCTTGGCCGCAGCCCCGCCACGGGAACCCTCACACCCGCCGAGGCGGGCGCGGCGCTCCCAGGGTCCAATCGCGAATCAGAAAAATCAAACAACACACTGGGCAACAATAGTAGAATAGCATCGTCCCCAGACTACTGCTTGACTACTGTTGGGTTGTTCCTCCTGTAGAGGGACAAGCCCGACTCAAAGGTAAGGACTCGGGGCCGCTGCGGGGTTTCCACTGAACGCGGGGGGTGGGGAGGTTTTCCTCGGCGGCGGCCGCGTGTGAAGGGGCCCTCGGACACACAAATACATACACACAAATAAAAGCATTTCCCATATTTCCAAAGATTTTCAAGGTTTTCGTTCCCCCCCCACACTTCCCATATTTTCCTATATGTTCGGGGGAATCGACGATTATTTGCGTCTATATTTTTTCCCTCCTGACCCTCGCTGCAAGCAGGCGCAGGGTTCCCGAGCGAGGGGTTGGCGGGCACCTTTTGGGGGCACCCGCGGGCGCGGGGGAAGTTTGCACCTTCCGCGGGGGCAGCCACACTGGAAAGTGCAGCGTTGGTTTTGGCAGGGCGCTGGAAGGGGGGTGAGAGCGGAAACGGGACGTCGCTGGCAAAGCGTGGGCACGTGCGCTGGCGCGGGTGGCGTACGTTCCGCGGCCGCCGTGGCCAACGCCAGCGCACCTGTCGGCGAGCCCCCCCCCCGTGCAACGCCCGCCCGCCCGTCCGCCGCGCGAGTGGGAGGGTGAAGGCAAGTGGGGCACACGTGAGAAGGCGATGAAAAGTGCCGGGGTCGGCGGGGAGGCGCGCTGGGCCGCCCTTGCTGGCGCCGTGGCGGCCGTCGGCATGGCGGCCATCGGCGAGTTTGCCCGCCCCGCGCCCCCCCCGTCGCGCGCTCGCCTTCCCCTCCGCCGCGAGAGCGGGCGGGTGGGGGCTCGCGGGGCGCAGGCGCGGGGGGGGGGGCAGGAGGGCGGGCCAAGAGGGGGCGACGGTCGGGCAAGGCCCACTCAAGTTCGCATTGCACCCTCCGAAGCCCCAGCTCGCAGAGGACGATCAAGGCCGCCGCCGAGGAGGCGCGAGAAGGAGCTCCACCCACAAGTCTAACGGAGCTCGCGCGCCCTGGAAAAAAAAAGCGCCAAGCCGCGGGGCTTGCCAGGGCGAGGTCGCGCTGTCCGCGGCCGCCCTGGCCGGCGCCAAGACAGCCGTCGGCGAACGCGCGTGCCCCCCCCCCCCTCCGCCGCCCCGCAATGCGCCCGCGCGCCCGCCCCTCCGCCGCGCAAGTGGGCGGGCGAAGGAAAGGGCGGCGGGGCGGAGGCTGCAAAGAGGCGAGCCAGGCAGGAGTGAAGGCGTGGCGGGGCCCTCTCAAGACCAGTGGAGAGGAGGCCCATTGCGCTGTAACTGCCGAGGCCCCAGCTCGCAGCAGGGGGCTGCGGCCCCGTCAAGGTGGTGCACGAGAGAACTCTATCCACTGGTCTGGTGCGGCTTGAACTCCGGCGGCGCGTCGGTTGAATGGCGTGTTCGGGCGAGAAACCACTGCGTAGCATCGCCCGCAGTGGTCTGCTCTTCGCGGAGGCGGCGGTGCGCCGTGGCCGAGGAGCGGCGGAGTGGGAGCTGCTGCGGGCGACTGTTGCCGCCGCTGGGCGCGCGGGCTGAGGCGCCCAATGTTTGCGAATATTTGGCAAGCGGGTGTTCCCGAGAAGTGGGCGTGGAAAAAGCAGCTGGCCGCAGGTGGTGCCCGCGGTCGGTCTAGCGGCGCAGAACCGGTCAATTGTGCGGGGGGTGGGGGAGGGGGGGGGGGGGCGACGCGCCGATGGGCCGCCGTTCGGGCGGGCCCGTCTTGAAGCGCAATCTCAAATGGATATGGGCGACCAAGGGGGAGCCTCCAGATTCACCAGCGT